TGATGTTTCAACAGATTACGACAATGTATCCGAATGAATTGTGTATGTTTAATCACAAAAATGAATTTGGATTACATATGTTTTACGTTTTTTTAATCACAAAATCAATTTGCATTTGGGGTTTGGGGTTTATGTGTAGAAGAGGTTAGGAGTTTGGTTGTAAAAGAGGTTATAAGTTAAGGAAGTTGTGGTTTGGGGTTTCGAGTTTAGGGATTTATAAACCCTTTCTTCGTAAAGCCCTAGTAATAGAAAACGCGGGCATAGCCGTTTCCTCGTAAAATTCTAGTAATGTATTACTAGGACTTTACGAGGAAAAAAACGCGGGCATAGCTATTTCCTCGTAAAGCATTTTCCTCGTAAGGTCCTAGTAATTGTATTACTAGGACCTTACGAGAAAATAAAAACACGGGCATAGATATTTCCTCGTAAAGCCCTAGTAATGTTACTAGGACTTTACGAGGAAACAAAATTCCTTATATAAACTCGAGCAATCCGATTTCTCATTTTGTAGTAAGCTTCTCTCTGAATCCTCTTAAGGTTCTCTTTAATTCGTAGTTAGGTGATTAGATTAGGGAATTTAGATTAGGTGTTTAGTTTAGGGAATTTAGATTAGGTGGTTAGTTTAGGTAATTTAGATTAGGTTGGTTTACTTTTAAACTGTTTTTTTTTAATTATACGAGAATTAATGTTTTGATTTTTTTTTTTAAAAATATAGATGCCTAGACAGAGCAAGATTGCTAAGGCTTCTAGTAAGAGGACGTCGTCTCTTCAGGGGAGTCACTACGGAGATATTTTCGGGGGTCAGGATGCTCCCGGTTCATCTTCGTCAGCTCCCGGTTCATCTTCGATTCCATATCGTGACGCTGTTCCCGAGACTCAGGGAGCTTCTACGGCGTCCCGGCAACCACCACCTCCTCCACCTCCTCCTCTTCCTCCTCCACCGGTCGGGGTTCATCCCGATTTGCAGGTGCCGTTTCCTCGTAAATTTCTAGTGTATTACTAGGACCTTACGAGGAAATAAAAACAGGGGCATAGATATTTCCTCGTAAAGCCTTAGTAATGTTACTAGGGCTTTACGAGGAAACAAAATTCCTTATATAAACTCGAGCAATCCGATTTCTCATTTTGTAGTAAGTTCTCTCTGAATCATCTAAAGGTTCTCTCTAATTTGTAGTTAGGTGATTAGATTATGGAATTTAGATTAGGTGGTTAGTTTAGAGAATTTAGATTAGGTGGTTAATTAAAGTAATTTAGATTAGGTTAGTTTACTTTTTTAACTGTTTTTTTTAATTATACGAGAATTAATGTTTTGATTTTTTTTAAAAAAATATAGATGCCTAGACAGAGCAAGATTGCTAAGGCTGCTAGTAAGAGGACGTCGTCTCTTCAGGGGTGTCACTACGGAGATATTTTCGGGCGTCAGGATGCTCCCGGTTCATCTTCGTCAGTTCCCGGTTCATCTTCGATTCCGGATCGTGACGCTGTTCCCGAGACTCAGGGAGCTTCTACGGCGTCCTGGCAACCACCACCTCCTCCACCTCCTCCTCTTCCTCCTCCACCGGTCGGGGTTCATCCCGATTTGCAGGTGCCGCCGAATGCACCCTTTGCGGTGTACACGGTGGAGGATATTTTGGCCCTTCCAGGCAGAGAATGGCTGCCAGAGTTAGATCCTATCCGACGGGACGGCCAAACGTATTATTTACAAATTAATCTAATTAATGATTTATTTTGTGTCTTTCCAGGTTTGGTCTTGACAATTGTGTCGCAACTAGCGTCACGGACTGTATCAAGGGATACTTTCCCGATGCAGCTCCAAACTGGAAGAAGACGGCGAGCCACACAAAAAGACGTGGTTCAAATCGTTTGCTGCAAGTTTAATTAATGATCAACTTAATTTATTTTTAATTATTTAAAATTATTAATATTATTGAGCTAATCCGTCTCTCATTTTTTTTGGTTACAGCAAAAATATTGTTGGTCTATTGGGATTCACCAGCGGGTGAAGACGGAGTTTGAGGCCAAGGCAAGAGCACGATTGCTCGACATGGTCTACAACTGGAAGTGCGACTTTCAGGTATGGATTTATAAATTATAATATATATATATAGTTTTAAAAATATTATTGACTTTAATTCTAATTATTTTAATTCAGGTGGATGGTTACGAGGACGGGAAACCCGATTGCCTAACAACCACGGTGTGGGATGGCCTCATCAGCTATTGGAGGTGCCAGACTCGGTCAGTACCTCCATCACAAACTCCAGGAATCGCATGACCAGAGACGAGCATGGCAACACGAAGATGCTTCACACCAGGGGTCGAAAACCTCACGGGGTGAGTTCGTCTAGACATGGTAAGATGATTTGTAATAACTATTTAATTCTTATTTTATTTGAATCTTCCAAATTAATATTTAATTTTAAAAATTACTTTTAGGCTAAAGAGACAGGAGTTCTTCCATCTCTGAAAGACCTTTACGAGAGGACCCACCGGAACAAGGCTGGGCAGTTTGTAGATCCTGCTTCCGAGCGGATCTACAACGAGGTTGTTGCCCGATTTGACGAACGCCTGACCCAGCTGACTCAGCAGACTGGGACTCTAGTCATATTATCCACTCTTAAAGTGGATAAGATTTACGAGGAGGTAAATAATTTGTTTTACTATTAATTTTTATTATTTATTTTAATTTTTTTCTTAACATTATTAATATTTTTATTTACAGATCGCCCCTAGGAAAAAGGGGCGTATCGTCGGGATAGGCTCGGTTAACGATGTCCCTGCATCAACATCGTCTTATCATCAGGAGCAGCACGATGTCAATGCTCAGCTACGCTCGGAGTTGGCTTCGCTCACCGAGCATGTGACTTCTCTCACCGATGTCCTCGACATTTTAGCGGTTGGAAACCCCGCAATTGGAGGAGATGTTGCGTCAGAGACGGGAAAGCGGAGGGCTTCCAACCCAACAGCATCCACCATCACAGTCACAGCTGGCAACCAACTTTGGAGAGGAGCATGATTTGGCGAGCCAGGACAAGTTCGTTCGGCAATTTCACGACCAGCATCCGTAGTTTTTTTTTATTTTTAATTGTATATTATGAATTTTAAAACTTAATTGTATATTATTTACTTAATTATAAAATATTTTGTTTTTATTTTTAATTTATAAACTGTTCTAGTAAGTTCCTCCTAATGTATTACTACGAGCTTACGAGGAAAAGCTAACTACGCGCTTACAAGGAAACCCTACAAGGACCTTACGAGGAAAAGCTAACCATGCCTTTACGAGGAAAAGTTTCCTCGTAAGTTAGCTAGGACCTTACGAGGAAAAAGGATTTACGATGAACGTGTTTCGACGAAACGTGTTTCCTCGTAAGTTCCTAGTAAATGGTCATTTACTAGGAAATAACGAGGAAAACTCATCCTAGTAATGGACGAGTTTTCTTGTAGTGCTAGTGCATTATATCTTCAGAAATTTAAGTCTTCCACAACCTCAAAATCAAATTTATAACTAAATCACATACCAAAATTTTATTATACTTAAAGTAAACTTATAATGTGTTTAATACACACAAAAATACATATAGGTCAAATTTAGTTTTTTTTTTTAAGTAAGATCCCACAATCTAACCCTAAAATCACATACAATACTATAACATAGTTACCGACCCTAAACCAAAAAATATCATAACTTACATTCATTCATCTATGTTGAAAAAAATTCAATTTAATTAAATATAAATTTATATCACTTACAAATGTGTATAATTTGATGATTATGATTTGTCCTATTAATATATTTTTTTATGAAATTTATAAATTATTTTAAGAACTAATACAGTAGAAGACTTTATTTGGAAGACTTATTGGAAGACTTAATTTTTGGCAAGAAACCTAAATTCTTCTAAAACTTTAAGCGGAACTGGTAGTTAAGTCTTCCAGTAAGTCTTATATTGTATTATATTTTCAAAAGTTTAAATCTTCCAAAACCCCCAAAATCAAATATATAATAACTAACTCACATACAAAAACTTACTAAACCCAAAATAAACTTATAAAAGGTTTAATATACACACAAATAAACACATATAGGTCAAATTTAGTTTTTTTTTTTAAGTTAAGATTCCACAATCTAACACCTAAAACACACATACAATACTATAACATAGTTACCAAACCCTAAACCAAAGAATAAATACTAACTTACATTCACTCATATATGTTGAAAACTATTCAATTTTAGTAAATCGAAATTTACATTATTTATAAATGTCTATAATAACATGATTAATTTTTACTAATCAAAATATTTTTTATAAAATTTATAAATTATTTTTAATATCTACATCATGAGAAGACTTTTATGGAAGTCTTCTCACTCGTAGGGTTATAATAATAAACTACAATACTGTTTTTTTTAGTGAAGACTTCCCTGAAAGTCTTCTCACTCGCAGAGTTATAATAATAAAGTACATTACTGTTTTTTTGTTTAGTCATGAGGGGATGTTTGTAATTTCACTAGTATTTTGAGTTACTTTTGCATTTGATTTGAGTTAGAGTACACATTTGCATTTAAAATCAAGTTTTGAGTCATAGTTGATAAATTCCCACTGAATTAATTCAGATATTTGAAGGTTTTTACTTTGTTTTGTTAAACAAAGTTTTGTTTGATTAGTACTTGTAATATCTTTTGATATTATTGTGATATTTTCAATAAAGCTTCTGTGTTTTTGTTATTAGTTTATCATCCATTACAAATATGATTAATGAGTCTACAGTAAATGCATAATACTTGAATTATAATTTGGTTGCTAATTTTCTTCAAATAAAAACAATCTTATTATAACTGAACATGTATATCATTTATAAAGTGCAAGAATAAGCAAAGAGAAAGTTACACAATTTAGTATAGTAAACTCATTTGATCGATGTAAGAGACATGTTATGGTATTTATTTATTTTGCTTTTTTATTTTTTTTTATCATAATATTTCAAAATAAACTCTAAGCCGGAGTAGGAGCATTGTTGTCAGAGCAATGTTTCTGAACAAAGTTGTTACTGAACGATCCGAGTTCTGTATGTTTACAATTTTCATTCAACTTCTCAATCATGGCACAACAGTTAGAATCAGTGGTTGTTTTTTTGGTTAACGCCTTATTCAAACATTTTGTTACCATCTTGTAACTGGAAAAGCACTTCTTTAATTTCTCATTTGGATTGTGTTTGTGGATAGGCGAGGGCGCCTTAGAGTAACCTGACCATTGGAGCTCTTCGTCATCTGTTGGATCAAGGAATTGAGATGTGACACAGCTTGAAAATAATATTATAGCAACAAAAATCGTTAGATTCTTCATTTTGTTTAGATTCTTTGTCGATGTGAATTGGAGAAAATGAGAAAAAATGATGAAATATGCTTTTAGTTTTAGATGGTTTTAAAGTGAAACTACGTCAGAGTTTATATAGAAGTTTACAAATGAAAACATAGAAAGAATGCCTAGTTAATGTAAAACATTGTTTATATTCAATTAAGGACATAAATCTAAATTTGCATGTTGTTAACCCAAAAGATGATATAACATCTTAACGTTGACCAGGAATATGGTATAATATCATAATAACATTCAATGGTATCATATATTCAACATTTTCACATCATTATCCCAAAAGAAAAAAGATAAGGTTCACAAATTAAATCTAAAAAGATAACTACAAACACATGTCATAAAACGGCCGATTAGTATCTGAACTATGGTCATATTGTCTGATCAATACCCAAACTATTTTATTGTGCGAATTTATACCTGATCTAATATAGATTTTGAATTTAGTCCATGAACTATGATCATATTGTCTGATCAATACCCAAACTATTTCATTGTGCGAATTTGTACCTGATCTAATAAGATTTTTGAATTTTGTACATGAACTTAAAAAAAACTGACTTTTACATACCTGTGACTAACATGTCGGTGTTCTACTGAGATGGACCGGTTTCTTGATGAGTTTACGTAGTTTCAAAAAAAAAAAAAAAAAAGACAACTTAATTAATTCGAACCCGGCCGGGTCCCAAAACATAAACATAGTAATGACAATAACCGTTTATGCTAGAACAGATCGTTTTGTTGTACCGAAACAACTATATAACTTTTGAATGGTGTTTCCGTTCGTCACAACCATGTCTCAAATGATTCATCAAATCTCTTTTTGTTTTGAACTCATATAATCCTTATTTTAATCTCGTTTCATCAAATCTCATCAAATGTTTTCATCAAAACAACGATTAATTATATATATGAGATTTGATGAATCATTTGAGATATGGTGGTGATAAACAACGATTAATTATATGAGATTGATGAATCATTTGAGACATTGTGGTGATAAACAGAGACACCATTCCAACGTCATTTGGATCTTATCCAGCATAAGCAATTAGTGAAATTATTATGAATATGTTCGGAAACGGGGTTGAACCAAAGGGGCCTCATATCTGTTTTCTTTAAAAAAAAAAAATTTTAAACAACGCCAATTCATCAAAAAACCGGTCCACCTCAGCAGAATATCGACATGTTGTCAGTCGTATATATGTAAAAGTCAGATTTTATAAGTTCAGGTACCAAATTCAAAATTTTTATTAGATTAGGTACAAATTCGCATAGTAAAATAGTTTGGATATTGATTAGCCAATATGACTATAGTTCAGGTACTAAATTCAAAATTTGTATTAGATCATATACAAATTCGCACAGTGAAATAGTTTGGGTATTGATAAGACAATATGACCATAGTTCATGTACTAATTGGCCGTTCTGGTAGGCATTGGATTGAAGAATCAATAGATCTACAAATATTTTTACTGTTTTAAGTATTGTTTAGTTATTTAAGAAAATTGATTTTGACAATATATATATATATATATATATATATATTCAAGTATTTTAGACATTTCAAAATATGTTATATATGTTAAAAATATTTGGATATTAAATCTAAAAATAATTAATATACTTAAATATATATAAATCTGATTCAGATAATATTTAGATGCCCAAAATATTTTGGTTTGATTTGATTTCGGTTCTCTAGATATCTAAATTTTGAACCCATTCTTATATTTAACCAACTTCAGTTTGGGTTTCATTTTACTTTTTGGATCGGATTTGATTCGGTTCCTCAGATTTTAGTATTTTTCCAGCCTTAGCATAAGTCCCTAAGAATCAGAGTTATCATTAATTCAAAATGAACTTCTGTTCAAATTTAACAATGGATTCAGCTTATATTTGTTTTGTATAGAAAAAAATAAACTGAATTCTATTCGAAACTAATAAAAACTAGTATGTATTGAAACAAATCGACAATTAAAAATATTATAGCGACGAACTTTATGTATATGCTTCAGTAGAAAACAAACCATCAGAGTCTATTGGGAAAAGCCAAAAATGAAAAACTTTCGAATTAGCTTTTAAATTTATTTAGCTTATCACCCTAAGACATACAGCTGCCAGTAACTCGACTTCTGCTCCGGCGGTTGGTGATTCTCACTACCATTAGGAGCGTCCCAGTTCTCCTCCTATTAAGTATTCACGGCTTTAATTTCGGCATCTCATCGCTGTTTTGAGATTGGTTACCGATCTGTTTCAACAGAAAGATTCAATAAAAGTTGTTAATAGCCGCAAAATATATTGTAGCTATATCCAAAAAATTGTAGCTATTTGGCTAATTTCCACGCATAGCCACAAATTTTTTTTGTAGCGTCGAGCTTGTGGATATCGTCCGGTTGTGGTTATTTGTGGATGATCTTCTACAACTTAGCAACAAGTGAGATTTGTGGCTACTATCTACGAATAGCAACAAAGCGTATTTGTTGTTACTATAGCCACAACTAGCCACATACATAATTGTAGCACTACAAAATTTTAATTTTTGTTTTTATTTAAGCAAATTAAGTAATAAATAAAAAATAAATTTTAAAAACAATATCAAAAATGCAAATTAAATCAAATTATTTTATTTGATTTAATATGTTTTCAATGTGCTTTACAAATACTTTTATAAATTGTAAAAGTAAACTAGTTAACAAAACCTAAATCTACTGAAAAAACAAAATAGAAACCAGTCTTCTGTATGTCATCGCTCCTGAAGTCTCTTGGCCATAGCAAGCTTGACCGGAGGCATTGAGTTGTCTCTGTAACACATCCTTTATATCCACACAGATTGATCCCCTTCCACTTGTTATCTCTTTGTCGCTGATTTTGTCTCCTCTCTGCTAGTTGTACTTATTAAGACTTCAAGAACATGTACTTATTTATTGATCCCCTCGGCGGGTTTAATAATTTTACTAATATCTATAAATAAATGTATAATTAATTTTTGTAAATTATAATAAATTATAGTTTATAGATTCAAAATATTTAATAATAAACTAAACAAATTCTTTTTATATATAAATTTTTTCATCATCATATAAATAATTTTCACTACACAACTTATATTTGAAAATACTCATGAACTTAAAATATTTAGTAATAAATTAATATCATTTTTAGACATAACAAAAAAATATAAAAAATTATCTTTAATAATGTTTTGGATAACACAATATAAATTATCTATACATAAATTCTTTGCGAATTGATTTTTCATAATTAACTATATATTAACAAATAGAATTACTTTTCAACGTTAATAAAGACTTTATAACACAATATAAAAAAATTAGGTAAAGATAATTATCAAATTCTTGAGATTCATTTTTTAATTTAGAATTAATTATATGTTAACAAATATAATTATTTTCAAAATAAAGACTTTATCCCATAATATAAAAAATTAAAATAAGGATAATTATCAAATAAATGAAATTCGTTTTTAATTTATAATTAATTATATATTAACTAATATAATTATTTTCAAGGTTAATAAAGACTTTATAACCCAATATAAAATAGTTTTAGATAATGATAAATCTAAAATCAATGAAATTCGTTTTTTATCTATGTTTAATTATATTAAAAAATTTAATTATTCATTAAGGATATAAAAGATATTAACCGCTCTAACTTTCAACGTGAAAGTTACAAATTAATCAGCAAATTCACTTCAATTTTATAATTGAAAATCTATTCTTAAGATAACAATCTAATACAAAATAATTAACATATTTTCTAAAAGTAAAATATTATTAACATAAATTCGTTTTTATTTTATAATAAATTATTAAAACATGAAAATAAGCAAAATAACCTAAAATCATGGAGAAGTTGACAATTAAGCAAATTTACTTCTCAAATAATGTTATAGATGAAAAATATATTTTTAAGATAACAATCTAATACAAAAGAATTAACATATTTTCTAAAAATAAAATATTATTAACATAAATTCGTTTTTATTATATAATAAATTATTAAAACATGAAAATAAGCAAAATAACCTAAAATCATGGAGAAGTTGACAACTAAGTAAATTTACTTCTCAAATAATGTTATAGATGAGGCGGAAGAAACAAGGATTAGGTTTAGTATTTTACTTTTTGCTTTTAATGAAAAACAATTATGTGGACGTGAATTAGAACTAAGCCCGCGTGTTTGTAAAAACTTTTATCTTGAAATACTTAGCCGGAAAAGTTACCCGGGAACCAAAATTATGTGCCTATTTTCTGATTTTTACATAAATTATTATTTAGACTTTGTAAGGGTTTGAAATTAAGGTTGGAGATAGAGTTTGGAGGTACGAAGGGTTTGGATTTTGGAAGTTAGTTTGAGGTTTGAGATTACAGTCTGAAAAAATATGTTAAAAGTTCATAAATCTTCAGAAGTGATATATATTTGCTTAAGTTATGAATTTTTTTTAATGAAATTATATTAGTGTTTATTTTTTTAAATTTGTTATTAGTGTTAGATGATTGAGTTTAGGGTATGTTAAGGGTTTAGAAAAAAAAATTGAATTTTTTTTTCTTTTACTGAGCTCACTTACTGGATTTAGAATTTGGTATGTAGTTTTTTTCGTTTTTAATTATTAGTTGTGTAGATTATCTTTTTTTGTCAAATTAGTTTTTGTATTTATCTTTAGTTTTATGATTAAATATTGAAATTTTGGGGTTTATGTTTATATATTTTTACTATTGATTTTGTGGCCAATAGTAGTTATTTGATTTCCACAAATTATTTTGTGGCTAATTGTGACTTTTTTTCCACAAATAGCCACAAGATATAGTTTGTAACTATTTAGCCACTAAAAACTACAAAATAGCTACTAATTTCAGCTTTTTAAATATTATTGCTATTTTGTGGCTATTTGTAGCTCATAAACTACCGTCACAAAACCTTTGTATCTAATTTGTGGCTATAAGCAG